GATTTTAATTGGTCAATCAACAAATAGCATGGGTTAAAATTTTGTGTTCCCTCCTGTTAATTTTGTGTTCCCAGAACAGTCTCTCCTGTTTTATGAGATGTCTGTTCTATAAATGGTTAGTCAATAAAAACCGTTTTTATATTCTTTTGCCGATCAGTCAGTTTTAACACGTTTACTTTACTAAGAAAAACTCTTACTACCCACCGTTAACATTACACTGATTAATCAACGTTACTAAGTAAACGACCAAAACCTCAGGGTTCTATACCACTCTGATAGCAAATAGATAATCAAACCTGACTGTTTAATTTCCGACCCCAAAAGTGTTTTATTAAGGAGAAAGAATAATTAATTTATTTCAGAAAAAAAGAAATATTAATTCTACTCTTATGAGCGAAGCACTGAGATAATAAGTAAATAATTATCAGTCGTGTGACATATATATAAATATTCTATTAAAGAATACTCTTTCATATCGAAAGGTCTTCTATACATGAATTCTCGACCATTCAAAAACTGTATTACTTTTTCACTTCAAAGCTCAGATTATTTCTCAATATCACTTTAAAAGACTTGATAGTAAATGAGAAGGTGTAGAATACTTTAAGCTTTCATATGGTCATTACTTTATGGGGGTATTGGTTAATAAGTTTTAGAGAGGTTCACGAAAAACTATTTTATAGAAATTTAATGATTCAGCAAAAATTAAAAGGTATTTTATTAGTGATCGTTTTACATTTCTGAATTTATATTATTAAAGTTTCATTAATGATTATTGTTTAAATAAATAATAAATAAAACGTATAAATTGTCTTTAACACTAATTTCGATGAAACCCGCCTATATAATTATTGAATGTTTGATAAACATTCGTTTTGCAATCTTCATAGATCTCGACTTTAATACTTATTTTGATCAAACCCGCCTATATAATTATTGAATAATTGATAAACATTCGTTTTGCAATCTTCATAGATCTTGACTTACACTTGCTTCAATCAATCCCGCCTATATAATTATTGAATAATTGATTAACTTTGTAGATCTTGACTAACACTTACTTCAATCGACCCCGCTATAAAATTATTCAATCGTTTGTGTAGGAGTAATCAAAATAAGCTTTAAGGACGAGCGAGATCTATTAACAAAATATACTAACGAACGTTTTATCAATTATTCAATAGTTTGTGTAGGAGAGATCGAAGTAAGCATTAAGGACAAGATCTATGAACAAAATATTCTAACGAACGTTTTATTAATTATTCAATAATTAATGCAGGAGTATCGAAGTAAACTTTAAGGACAGGATCTATGAAGCTTGCAAAATATTCTAACGAACATTTTATCAATTATTCAATAGTTTATATTAGCGTTAAGGACAAGATCTATGAAACTTGCAAAATATTCTAACGAACATTTTATCAATTATTCAATAGTTTATATAAGCGTTAAGGACAAGATCTATGAAGCTTGTAAAATATTCTAACGAACGTTTTATCAATTATTCAATAATTGTATTTATTATTTATTGATAAATAATTAAATGAATAAAGTCAGAGACAAAACACCTTTTAATGATTATTGTTGCTTGTTTATTATTCTAATCATTATTTATGTATAGGTAAAGAAAAATTTTAAAATCTATTTATTTATATATTTACTTTTAAAATAAATGATTTTACTATAAAAGACATACCTAAATGATCAAAATCTGTAAATATTCATAATAATGTAATATTTGGACATTTATTTCCAGCTATACTTGCAATTGGACGTGCCAAACAAAATTTTACGTATATGAATATAAAGGCAAAATTTGACTTTGAGGGTCAGACTATTTTCGGTTTTATTAACAACCTTTAAAATTTTTTTTAAAGCAGATACATATGATAAAGAAAATTATATCTCAAATTTGGTGGTGGTTGCTACACAGCAAGGGTATCAAACGAGGGTGTGAAGGAAGACATTTAATTATAAAATTTTACTATTACTATTGCTATGTAAATTCACTATAATACAGATCATCCAAATTTTACTATATATATGTCTCTGTACCTGTAATAAGGTTGCTTCCTCTTAGTGACTGTCGAAACTCTGTCGAAACTCCAATGAACAATTAGTATGTCGAAACTCTGACGATTGACAAAACCCCCAAATGCGAAATTCTGCCGAAACTCTAATTAACAATTAGTGTGTAACCTGTCGAAACTCTGTTGATTAACCTGTAATCATAATTAGTTTTTTCATGATTGCCAAAATTATTTCTGTAATTATTTGAACTCTTTAAGTCAAATGGTATACTAATATTTAGTTATTTTATGTTCATTCATATAAAGAATATTCAGAACTATTTCCATAATCACTTTTCCTTTGAAAATAATTACAGAAAACAACCATAATTTGATATGAATAATGAAAGAAGAGCTGAAAAACTTAGAGATCCAGAAGCCTATTACACGAAAAAGAATAAAGTGGCAAAAGGAGAACAAATCATGATACCAACAACCAAGCATTTATTTACCTGGCATTTACTAGTTGTTTAACTTTTTTTAATCACTTGCCTACTTATCAGAAAGAATATCACCATATTGTTTATTTAATCCTTTGCTGTGATCTTCGTTTTCTTTTCCTCCGCATCTCCTAACTAACTTCTTATTAGTATGGTATGTTCGATTTCATCTAATTGCCAGTTTATTATGTATATTCGGGTCACATTAATATGAGGGAGTGACAATAAAGGTCGAATTTTTTATTTAACATATATGTAATAGTAATCTGATCAGAAATCAAAAATTTTGGCCATATTAATATTAAAACGATTTACAAATCGTGAACCAATTTTTTTTTTGGTTTTTTATTGAATTGTTATTAGTTGTAGAAAAATTAATAGAAAAGAAATAAATGTCTATAATAATAATAAATTTATTATTACTATGTATAAAAATATTTACAGGATAATAAAAAAAATTTCATTGTTTATATAAAAGGGTTTTTCAATTATAATTTGTTATGGAGGCGTTAATGCTGCTGTTTAAAAAATTTTTGTAACAAAAATAAAATATCATCTTATTGTTAATAAGTAATCTTATAATGATGAATCAAAAAAATTGTTGTTTTCGATGGTCATAATGATGTTAATAATAATAATAATTGTTGTTGGACTTAAAACTTTGAACATGAATTTGGTGGATGAAAGAACGAACAAAAATCACCTATTAAAATAATAGTTTTAATAAATAAACAAATTTAATTAATAAAATAAAAAAATAATATACGCAGAAATTTTAATTTATATATATATATATACTCTAATAAACATTCATTACAGAGTTTTTGTCCTTCAGGTCCTTTCCAACAAGGAGTATTGCGTATTCCACAATTATTACAAGTAAATTCTGGTTCTAGACGTTGAGTTCTCATTAATCTGATTGTTCCATCTGGAGCTAATTCTGTTGGCCGACGAATTCCTTTATTCTTCAAACTACAATTAAATAATAATTAATTGAATTAAATTGGTTGAATATTTGGTATATTCATTATTCATTTATATGTAGGTGGATGGATATACTAACTATAGACCACAAGCATTACAAAGTAAAGATATTCCTTGTAAATCTCGTCTCCAAGCTGGAGTATCACGAACACCACAATTAGAACATTGTGCAATTTCAGCCTGACGAATCACATCTAATTATTCATTTAAGTGTGTGTGTGTAATTATGCATTTTATTAATTGGTTAAAGGTAAATTAAATTTATTTATAATTTTAATAATAGTATATTATTACCAGTCGTAGACGACGATAATGATGAATTTAACAAATGGTAATCAGATTCGGGTTTACGGCCCCGTTTCTTTTTTCCTTTGTTTTTTAGTTATAATTAATTTAATTAATTAATTTAAATCAAAATCAAATAATTTGTGATATAATTACCTCCATTAGTTGTACCACTTCTATTATTATTTGCATCGGTAGCCGGTGATGATGGTGGCCTACCTCTGTTAGTGGTAATAGTAGTATATAGTTGATTAATAACAGGATTATTATTATCATAATCTAGCTTTATTTCATGGTTGTCGTTATTATTGTTATTGATTGACGATGGTATTGATGTTGATATTAAAGGCGATACTGAAGAACTGTTTGTTGTGGTTGTATTCATTGAATTTATTGAGCCCATCGAATTAATTTGATCGTTGATTGAATTGTTTATAGAATTATTGTTAATCGAGTTGTTCACGGCTGTATTAATTTGATTATCGCCAATAGAAACAAGGTTATTGATCTCATTTAAATGAGATAAATGAGATGTAGAAGGTGCACAATGAATTGGTGGATTGGTAGTATAGTATTGTGATGGTAATGATCTAGAAATACGAGCAGCTTGTTGTAATGCAGCGGCAATTGCCACAGAGTTTCCAGCAGTATTAACATTGGGAGCAGTGGTAGCAGCACCATCACTCCAATAAATTGCAGAAGCCATAGCTTGTGTTGGTATTGGTGTTATATTTGTTGGTTGATGGTAATGTGGCGATGATGAAGAAGAAGGCGACGATAATGATGTTGAGGAAGTGGGTGGAAGTGGAAGTGGAAGTTGAGAGGGGTTGTTTAAACTATTAAAATTATTGGTAGTAGAACGTTGTGAATGTGGAGAATTTGACGATATATAATTGTTAATTGCATTTTGTATAGAAACATTATTATCATAATTCAAAAGTGTTGGATCTATTCTATTAGCAGAATTTGCAAAAGCCATTAAATACGCTCCATTGTTTCCACCGATACTGCCGTCCATACTTCCAGTGTCTATACTTTCTAGATTATTATCAACATTTCCAATTTCGCCATTATTAATTGCACCTATACAGCTATCATCATCATCATTACTATTATTGTGATTAATATTTAAATTATCGTTTGTCGAATTAATATTTGCTGAATTATTCATAGTAGTGGTGGTTGTAGTCGGAGAATTAGATAAAAATTGATGATAGTAATTTGTAAAATAATCATTTTCAACCTCACGAACATAATTTAAGTGTGATTGATTTGATGGATCAAAATATGACAACGAAGCTGTTGTTGTTGATTCGTTGTATAAATTGTTGTTGTTTCTGCTGCTGCAATTATTGTTATTGCTAAAATTATCTTTGTTGATATTATTATCGAACGACGACGGCGACGATAAAGATGAAATATTATTAATTTGTAACGATGCATTATTATTTATATTTATATTATCATTATTGGAATTACTATCATTACTATTAATGTTTGTATCAGTGTTTGCAGTTATATTATTTATATTATTTATATTTATTGTGGTATTTTGTGAATTAAAAGAAATCACAAAAGATTTTAATTGACCGTCATCTTCGATATTATTATTATTATCATCATCATCACATCCCTCCAATTCACCTCCTTCGTCTTCCTCCTTAATATTAATATTATTATTATTATTGCTTAATTTATGAATGTCATTTTCATTAATATTTGGTGGAGTATAAGAATAATCCATTGGTGATGTTAAAGATATTGTCGAACGATCATTATTACCAAGTATAGTTTCATTGTGATTATCAGAAGTTGTGTTAATAATATTAATATTATCATCGTCGGTATTATTGCATAAAGGAACATTATTATTATTATTATTGGAAGCAGCAATTGTCGCATTAATTGTTGTGTTAATGATAATAGAAGTGTAATTTAAATTATTATTATTTATTTCTTCATTTTTTACCGTATTATCAGCATTCCAGGGTAAAGAAGGATTTTCTTGTTGACTATTATTGCTATTACGGTTAGCAGCGTGAAGATTTTCTATTTGTTGTTGTTGATGATCATTTAATGTTGCTGTTGTTGATTCAATGTCATTGTTTTCTAAATTTGTAAATGATGTATTACACGTATTTTCCGACATTTTATTCTTTTTGTTTTCAAATATGTTGCAATATATAAATATATAAATATTTTTAGAAAATTATTATTGTATAATAATATTAATAAAAAAATTCACCCGGTCCGATTGACTCATCAACTAATTTAAATTTTGTCTTTAAAAAAAAATTTTTTTTTTTTTTTGAGAAAGGAGGAAAAACGAACACGTTATTTAAAACCAAATAAACTATACTTTTTTTTTTTTTAATTTAAAAATTTTTTTTTTCGATTATGCGTGAGTGTGAGAGTGTTTGTGGCAACTAATTTATTATTATTACTAAAAAAAAAAAAAATAATATAATTATATTATAAATAGAATAAAATAAATTATTATTATTGAAGATTTTAAATGATAAGTAAATCGATAAATAAATAAATAAAAACTTTAAAAATCCAAATGGATTTTAGGCGAGATGAATATTTGATTATTGAAATAACTGAAATTATGAAAAAAAAATAAAAATAAAAAATATTAAAAAAAGAAAAAAGAAAAAGAATTAAGTCCAAAAAAAAAAGAAAGATGAAAGTTTTAAATTTTAATATAATATAAAGAAAACACGTGACGTAAACTTGGTGATCGCAAGTAGTAGTTTTGTGAATATAAAATGTATAGTTAAATTTAATAGTTTGTTATATAGAGCTTAAATTTTTATTTTTGTTGCTTTTCTCTTGTTTTTTATTTTCTTTGATGAATTTATTTATTTTATTACAGAATATATGTGATATGTAATATATATTATAAGAAACAATTTAACGTCTCATCACTTAATCAATCGCATTAAAACAACAGTTATTATTATATTGTATTATATATTTATATATTTATATATATATTCTTTTTTAATTTTTAATATTTTTAATAAATTTTTTTTTTTTTTATGAAATGTAAAACTTTTTTATTTTTAAGAAATAAAAAATTTTTCAAAAAAAAAAACTTGATGCATAATGATTAAACAATAATAATATTATATTCTCTCACTCGCTATTAGTTATTAATTAATTAATTAGTTAATAATAATTTTTTTTCTTTGGATTTTTTAATTTCTCGTTGTTTTCTCTTTTTTGTTGTTGTTGTTTTACTCTTAAATTGATTTATATTTAGATTGATGACGATATTATATTATTATTTTTTATTATTATTATAATAATAATAAAATAATAAATATTTAGATTATTTAGATTAAAAAGTATACTATATAATATTTTTTAATTTGCGATTTTTTTTTAAACAACAACAAAAAAAAAAAATTATAATTATTATTGATCGAAATTGTAATTTTAACGAAAACGCAACAACAACATTTCTATATTAAGAGTGATATTATTAAAAAATACGAAAAAAGCGAACGAAATAAAAAATAATTTATTGCCATGCATTAAGATTTTTACCAGTAATTTGTCACCCGCTCGCATTTGTTTGGTGGTTTTCTCAATGATGATGATAAAATATAAATTAATTTTATTTGTCGTATATGCAAAAATTATAAATAAATTATTCATGCAATTAAATTGAGATGCAAGATACCAAAATAATAATTCAATTGTGATCTACACGAGAGAAGAAAAAAAACGGATAATATATACGTAATATAATAGAACTTGATCATCTTTGTTTATTTTTCATCGTATTTTATGTCTTCTTTAATAATAATAATAATAATAATAATCCTTGTACGTCATTTGATTCCTTTCAATTTAAATAAATAATAGTTTTGGATGAAAAAGAAAAAATGGGAATAATGTAATGTCAAATTACCAATAACTTGCCAAAATAATCAAACAATGCATTCAATAAATATCCATCAAATAATAGTCTGGTTCGTCCAAACATTGTCAATTAATCAAAATAATTAATCAACCAATCAATCCGTTTCAATTTACTTATTTTCTCCCATTTTAAATCTGCTGTCAAATCGCGTTAAAAACCCCATTTTCTGCCGTTTCTGGTATATTCAAAACTCTCGTTATAGTGATATCAGAACGGCCGCTATAACGAGAGTCATGAGCCTCAATACAAGGAAATGATTTTCCGGACTAATATTTCCGCAATTGAACTTATGTTTTGATAAAAAGGCTTGTATTCGTCAAACGTCATGTTTTAGTATTGATATTATGCGATTCATCATTAATATAATTAATATTAACGTTAATATTGACGAAATAAATATTTCAACCTTACTATCTGTCTATCAGAAATTTTTTTTACTCACGATCCCATTGTCAATTTTCTTTGTTCAAATTATTGTATATCTTTACTATAAATTTTAGAAATCACGAGGGCTCCCAATTTAATCATTATTGTTCATTTAAATGGTTTCATTGTCATTGAATAGATAAATACCGTACTTGTACTATTCAAACTAAAAAATAAAAAAATAAAATCTTCGAACTCCAAACATTTGTTTTTGTATATATGATTAATATTTATACTCTTTTTTTATCCTATTTATTATTTACCATTATTAACAAATTTTTTACAAAAAGAAAATCACATCCAAAACAAAAAATAATGACTAGAGTGGATCCAGTATTGCTGTCCGAATACTTTAGTGATTTTGAAACTTTGTTGACAACAGAAGACAACTTTGATGTGAAAATTCAAATTGGTTCAGAGCCAGACATTAAAGATATTCATGCTCACTCTTCAATTCTACGAGCTCGTTGCTCCTATTTCAAAACTGCTTTGAGCACTGCATCAAAACAAAATGGTCATTTAATTATCAAAAAACCTGATGTTAGTGAATTGCTTATCACCACTATTTTGAAGTAAGTTTGTTGCAATTAATTTATAATTTATAATTTACTACTAATTAAAATAACAATAATAACCAACAACATGAATATATAATATTTCAAAAGGTTTTTATATACGTGTAAAATCGAATTTGATAATTATACTGGAATCGATGTTTTAAAATTGTTGATTGTCACAGATGAGCTTGACCTCGAATCACTTTACAAATACACTATGAAATACTTTATTAATAGTAAAAAGGACTATATCAAAGAAAATCCAATCAAAATTCTTCAACTAATTTATTCAAACAGCAAATTCGACGAACTAAAAAATATTTGCTTAAAAGAAATTTGTGCCAATTGTGAAAAATTATTCAAGTCAATGGAATACGATTCATTAGAAAAAGAAATTTTATTAGAAATTCTTAAAAGGGATGATTTCGTTGTTGATGAAATAGAAATCTGGGAAAACATTCTTAAATGGGGATTGTCAAAACATCCGGGTGTTAATAGCAACGCTGACTGTTGGTCGATTCAAAATTTCGCTCATTTAGGAAGCACTTTAAAAGAATTCATTTATTTAATTCGATTCAAGGATATTTCTAATAGGGATTTCTTCAATAAAGTTGTGCCATACCAAATGCTTTTCCCAAAGGAATTGTGGTTAAAACTTTTAAACTATTATATTGTTCCCGAAGATCAACCATCTTTAAGTCTATTATCATCTAGAACTTCAAAGATTCAACAATTCATTATCAATCAAAAGATTACATTACTTTTTGCAAGCTGGATTGATAAAAAAAGCCCAACATATACTTCATTCAATGATGTCAAATACAAATTTAAACTGTTATATCGTAGCAGTAGAGATGGTTTAAATGCAACAGTATTTCATCAAAAATGTGATAACGTCAACAAAACTCTTGTGATTGCTAAAATACGAAGCAACGAACAAATCATTGGCGGTTATAATCCGCTTAGTTGGAGTGGAAGTCAATATAAAAGTACAAATGAAAGTTTTATTTTTCATATTAGTAATAGAAATGATGCTAATTCTACAAAATATCATAGTTATGTAATTAGTAATAATCAATCTGGTATTTATTGTACTCCCAG